TTTTGATTTTTTACCTGGATTACTGAGATGCATCAGGACATCATTTGTATGTGCTCTGTTTTATATGGATTTATCATATCGTACAGTTGCAACAACTGTTGCAACTGTCCCCCTTCCTGTCAGCCATGATAAAACCTCATGTGTTAGCTAAATACGCTTATCTGGATACATGTTATTAGTTAAAAGTCAAGTAGTCAACATATCACTAATTTAAACCATATAAGCTGGATCACAAAAACAGTGACGACAGTATAACAAAAATAAAGCTGGGCAAAAAAAAATTTCTTTGGTACCTCAAAAACAGTTTTTTTCTTCAAATAAATCCTGAAGAAGTTTTTGAATCTGCTTACTTTTTCTTTGCAATGTGGGGCATCTAACTGAGCATGTACAGTGTGAGTGTCATCCCTCTAGCTCGTTTCTGTTTGGAGAAAAATGACGTGTTGCAACTGTCCCTTGTTGCTACTGTCCCCGGTCTCCCCTAGAAATAAATTGCTTGTATAATCTTTTTCTACAATAAATCACAGAAAAGCCTGGGATAATAACAATATGAACCAGTAGGAAGGTAGAATACTATGACTAACTGCCTAACCTTTGACCTCATGTTGCGCGCTTTCAGTTTTCATTGAAATTGGCGCATTTAAACGTTGCCGCCACTAGGCGGCGGTAGTGCGCTGCTGTACAAACAGGCACTTGCGTACGTTCTCATGGAAACCAATCGGTGCACGAGCCTCCCATGAGCCTACAGTGGGGGACGGTTCACGCGCACAGAGAGGTCATGTTTATGAACGGCGAGTCCCGTCTACCTGCCGTAGTTCAGTGAGCTGTAATCATCAACCCAGCAGCGGCAGCTCGTTGACGGAAGCCCGGCTCCCTCCTCCTCCCCCCTCGGACGGTTTTGTGTCATTTTGAAGGGCATGTCAGGGCAGACCGTGCGCTCAGCCGCACCGCGGAGAGACAGCGGGTGGCGTTTCTGAGAGTCCACCTCTCACCCGCATCGCTCCAAACCCACCTGCACCTCCTCACCAACACCCATCCTCTCAGGGAGAGAGAGAGGAGGGAGGGAAGGAAGGGAGGGAGGAAGCGAGGCGCTGAGATGCCGATGGTTTCCTGGGGGCGCCAGGAAATTAAAGTTCACTCTATTTTTGTGTAATAGAGCGCGAGTCTTGTACATTTCACAGCAAGAGTGGACTGAGCGACCTCCACACGGTTTGATCTCAAGCCTTTTCATCAGAAGAACCACAACAGGTAAAGGTGTTGACTAATCAGCTCCACGCATGCGTCAAACTCTAGCTGGAACAATGTAATTATATAGAATCCTATTTGTCAAGACWATCTAAATGTCTGTTTCCTCCCTGCAGTAATCATTAAATTTGATTATCATGCTTTGAATGTTTCTAAAAGCAGTTGTTGTTGCTTAAAATCGATGACAGGAGAAACAACCCTGTCACTTGCACCGTTTTCACACCGCTGACATCAACACAAATCATGCTGATGAACCATACATAGCAGGAGCTGTCTGATGTTTTCATCCCTCATCTCTGACAGTGGTGCACACACTCACACACCCATGTGTCAGCGGTTATATTTAATGCTAAACAGCACAGATTAAATGACCTTCATGTCTTAAAATGGGTCCTTGTTGGAGGGGTGTTATTAGGAAAACACTGCTCTTCACTTTTTCAAATCACTCTTTTTACAGGATCTGTAATGTAAGGCTGGTTTATTATAACCTGTTAAAGTGTCTGTTTGTCAGGGATGTTTGCATTTTATTTAATAAGTCAGAAGCTGTTAGATTAACTTGAGATTATGTACATACTGCTTTATAGCAAATATGTGCACTGGCAGAACACTKTAGCTGCAGCGTAGTCACCTGTGGCAACGCTGGAGTCCAGAACAGTGCATGTAATTTCTAATGCAACCATTATTGTTGCTCAAGTTTCCTGCTGGAGCAACAGCCACTGTACCGTGAAGCTGCTGCAGGAAGGAAAAAAAAAACAAAAAAAACAATGAACCAACTTCTCTGTGTTCTAATTTTACACACACGCAGACATTAGCCTRAATTTTACCCTCCCTAATTAGCTTTTGTCATTGAATTTGATTCCATAACAAGATGATCTAAATCAGTTGGCCGTGCACGTCATTTATTAGGCTACCATAATTTGCTTTTGCAGTGGCAACACAACSCTCAAACAAGTAGCCGGATTTAAACCTCGCATCCCACATTTCTTTTACGGTTCGGTTAATTTACTATTTGTTGCCAGCAGATAAGTGTTAAAACAATTATTTTGACGTCTCACAGCCTCGACTCAGACCTGATCAGAAAAAACGAAGCCCCCTAAGACACAGGGCAGTCATGCACCGTGGCTTTAGGACCTGGAAGAACCATTTCCAGCTGTGGCGGCAGCTGCTGATGCTCTTTGTGTCCGGGTCATCATTAGTATCCCTGTCACTGGGGCATATGGCTCCTTAGGCCTTCATCACCGACAGGCCGCTTGGCTGTAATCCTGACATCAGACACCGAAGGGACCAGCGCAGCCGTGCAGAACGAGCAGTTATAGATTAAATGTTTTACTCGGCGGATGATTGCTTTTTTTTTTTTTTACCCCCTGATTATCAAAGCAAAGCTGACTCCTCACCATCTGTATGACTCAAACATACTAAGCTATCTGTGTTGTGTGTTAACTCCACTAAAAGGAGCCTACAGCTGGCTCAGGCCTGCTGTTTGGGTTACACTTGGTGCTTCCTGACTCTCAGGAAGGAGCATGTTAAACACTGTGACACATTTGTTATCACCCAATCATTTCCACTCCCCTCTCTCTCTGAGTAGATAAACAAGTGGTGATCCGCACTAATTGCTCTCTAAAAGCCGACGTTTGGCTCTCGCTCGTTCAACTATAAAGACATTTGTTGTAACGGTGGATGTTGTGACTGTGGCGTGTTGACGTCACTGATAGTGACTGTGAGGTGGTTGGCTGAGGGGAASAAAACAGAGCGTGTTGCAGGAGGAGTGTTCCAGTCACCTCAGAGTCCAGGAGAGGGAATGGAAAGGTTTATAAGTCAGGAATACAGGAGGTGAAAAGGAAAATTACTGCTTACTGCTCCACTTATGAGTAATTTCATGCAAGTGAAGGTGGTTGAAATGAATGTATGTTTGAGGGGGAAAGAGTGGAGAGAGGGAGGATTAGAGAAATGAGGCGATAGGAGAGCCAGAAAAGAAGAATTAAAACCCAGATACCCTGCGGGAGGAAAGTGCGGGGAGGATCAATTTTGCGACATTCTGCAAAAAAGACACAATGCTGTCACTAAAGGGGCCGTCTCCCTCCTCCTGCTCCCTCAGCTCGTTTTGCTCCCACCCACATCCACGTGTGCCCACTTAACCCTCCTCGCTCAGCCCTCCCCGCCTGGTGCTGAAGACGGACCTCGGTAATACGGTGAGCCCAGTCAGTCGCCCAGTTATTGGTGGGCTGAGACACCAGCGCGCTGCTGAGGCACATGTGAAACACAGAGGCGGCTCCCATCACAGCATGAAAGTCGGGGCCAAGGTCGTGTGAATAATCATAAGGGAGCTCTGTTGGTTTGTGCGTCCCCCGAGCAGGAAGCAGTCAGACCCAAAACTGTGTGCCTCATGCACACAGGCAAATTCCATCCATGTAGAGGATGCAGATTATTTTGCACTGCAGTTGTTCGCTGCCTAAAGGTTCCTCCCCAGAAATCCAACGCTGCCATTTCTGCTCCTTTTCTACAGAGTAGCAATTACTGCCTGATAGATTGAGGTCAGACTGGCTTGTCGTTGTTCCCAAATCAGCTTAATTTTATGTCCACAAGTGCAGTGTATTGTGTGCAACTGCAAGGCAATTTGGTTGGTTGTTTGAGGGGTTTAAAATCCATAGTTTGCTAATTATCTCTTGCTGCCAAAATGCAAAAACAAGCTATAGGGTACACATCTTTGTATTGGTGCGTGGACATATTTTGACATTATGATATATTTATGAAGGCATTTTGTTGTGTGGATATATGCCAGCTCAAACAATGGAGAAAAAAACCATTTGTGGGTCAGAGTTAGGCTGTAGAAATTAATGGAAGTCAACGCAAAATCCACATGTATAGAGAGTACAGAGAGATAACGAGTGTGTGTGTTTTTGCCTGTGTGTGCTTGTGTCTGTTTGKCTTTCAACAAAATATCTTTGCGTGGACTTAATGAAAACTTTTGGCAAATAATCGTTGGACAGCTGATTAACTTTTGGTGCTAACACAATTAAAAATGGCTGCCACGGCCAACTCTTCTTAGAAAACACAAACGACTCAGTTTTAATGGTACTGAGCTAAAACCTTACGTGGTAGTAGCTGAGAGTAATTCACAACACATACAGGTGTGAAGTCGTACATAGCATTATTCTGAAGGTTTGACCTTTATCTCTGTTATTTCTCATCATAAGATGATCTTGATAACAGAATTTGGCTCTCTCCTACATGGCCTTGAGCTGTGGACTAAATTCTTCCTGGATGTGTACGTCGACTGAGGGTCTGCCCCTCACCTCCCCCACACTCACACCCGTCTGTGATCTGGTTCCTGGAGCAAGCTGAGGGCCACACAGAATGAACACTTTACYATCAATATTCTGAACTAYGGCTGCGCAGGTTTTGGGGACTCRATTYTTTGGGCTCATTTTTCAGATATTCATACAAGTGCATACAACATTCATAGCTTTAGATGCACGCCCCCCTTAACTCACTTACTCTGGCTAATAAATGTGCTCTATGCAGATTTTTTTTATAAACACCAAAGTGTGTCACATTGTTGAAATAATATGTTTTGTTTTTTGTCCTCATCTTCCCTTGTGTGGTTTTTTAGTTTTTTCTTTGTTAAAGGTAGCACCACTGTCTCTGTCTCTGTTGCTGCATGACCTGTTCACCCGTTCCCCCATGTTTGTCATGTGTGTCTTCTTGAATGGGTGTTCTTAACAGTTTGTACAGCACCTTGTGAATTTATTTCTGTGAAAGGCACTATATAGATAAAATTTTTCTTATTTACTTAGTCTAAAACTATGGTATGAAGGGCACTGGACAATATGCCTCTCTTCAATGAATGCTAGGCCTATAATTAAATAAGTTTTTTTAAGAGACAAGTGTTACAAAAAAGCATAGACTATAAACATTATAGATTTTTTTCTTGTTTTTATCTATGAAAATAATTGTTGAAATTGACAAACCATTATTGTGCATCTGTTGGCACTCATTTATTTTAAAAATGTTTTTTTATGTAATTGAGTTGCACATTATGCATTAAATTCAGAAACAAATAAATTGAAAATTCATAGCCTGACTTGCTATTGTCGGTAAGAAACCAACAATGTGTTCGTTTTAACAACTGAATTGTCGCTCAAATAATCCAGCTTAAATTCCTGCATTGCTGTCCTCCTTCTTCTCCCCYGTGTCTGTCTGTCTGATCTCCCTGCAGCTTTTTCTCGCTTTAATTCGCGCTGTTTCTTATGCTCTGGACCATGCAGTGGTTTTTCGTGTTGGTGTGCGACACGTGCTTTGAGCAAATTTGAAGCGACTGAGTGAAATCAGTTTGTTGCTGGAGGACCTGCAGGCAGCGTAGGCGAAACGCGAGACAATGGTGAAATCCATTTTTCAGACTGTCATTCAAATAAGGTTAGAACAGTACGAGATAACGTMTCATCTTGTGTCGTCCTGCTTTCTAGCTGAATAACATTTGTTTTAAGTCGATGCATGCAGCTGTGTCCAACTGTTTCCAGTGCCATGAGAAGGTGGATAACTGAACAGCCACRATAATGAATGACTCACTGTTGTCACGCTGGGTCGATAGGAGCTTGTGACAGACTCGTCAACTGAATTGACTGGTTATGTTTCAGGAAAGATTGAAAGTTGTAGCTTAAAATGTCCTCTGTGCTTTAATTTATTAACTGCAATAAATATCATCTGACTGAAGGGTTCATATAGAAAAATACTGATTGTTAACTGCTTGTAAAGTGTACAATATATTTATATAATTCACGTAAAAACATCCCTCTCACTTTTTATTGTCAGAATTTTCAGAAATGGACCAAGATAATCAGAACCAAAGCAAGACCGAAGAGGAAAACCCGAACAATGAAGCAGAGTCTTCATCAACAGCTCCAGCATCCAACACGACAACTCCTGCCCAGGATCCATCAACCTGCCAGCCTCCAGGYCCCCTCAGGCCTCGGCGGCCACAGAGAAGTGCCAGAATCGAGGGTTCTGTGGACGCGTCAGAGCTCAAAGCTGAACCCACTCCACCGACTAACCGGAGTGAGACCGCCAGCGACGGTGCTGTAGTGAGCCGCCCCAAGCCCTCTCGCCCCGCGGCACTCGAACCTGCAGGAGATCCCACCAGGCCGAGCGGTAAAGTCRGTCCTAAGGTTCCGGGTCACCACCCGCCGCACCCGGTTAGGGCCGCCTCAGTGCCCCAGCCCCCAGCCAGCAGGCCTCTTCCYCCTCACCTGAACCCACACGCACAGAGAGCCCTCTCTGTGGCGGGCACTGCCGACACCGAACCTCAGACTGTGGAGGACTTCAGGTGGGTTTCCTGGGCTTTCTGTTTCTCCACATATTATAATCCAGTAGTATTTTGTGAGAGGCTAAACAAGTGGTATTGAGTTTGAAGCTTTTCAAATAAAGTGTTTGCACATCTCATATGCAAACACTTCACTCCTGGGTGTGGCTGCTTCTTAAAGAGATAAATCCTCACTGGAAAATATCCTSAAAGTAATCCTTCTTTTTGCAGTGTTGCATTGTTTATCCAAAATGTTTGCTTTATTTAAATTCAGGTGATTTTAGTAACCAACAAAAAGCCCTAAAATGATCTAAAATGTCAATTTATTGCTTAATAAAGTCAGTATCTGAAGTGTAACCACAAACAAATGTCAGAAATGTAGATTTTAATCTACTTGAATTGGTTGCACAACAGCACCAGCATGGATAATAAACTGTCTAAACTTGACATCATTTATTTAAAGTGAACAGTTACAACAGGTCGTCTAAGAGTTACCAGCGGTGACACGCAGTGAGATGTGGGCGCAGAGGTTCTGCCGCCTCAGTCTGTAAGCTGTGACACACGAGTGTAGGAGACGAGTGTTTGTGGGAGTTTATGTAACGGCGACTTTCATCAGGGTGCACATCATCACCTGGAAYGTGGGCTCAGCCACGCCGCCCGATGACATCACGTCTCTGCTGGGACTGAACGTGGGAGACGGAAACACAGACATGTACATTATCGGGTGAGTGGTGGCCGCGTCACCTTATTTCACAATGGTCAGTTTGTGTAAACTCATCCTACGTCAAAAACAATGACAGTCAGGCAAATATATATATATATATATAAATTATTTTGTCCAAGCATTGTCACATGTACTTTTTTCTCTTTAAGGCTGCAGGAAGTGAACTCTATGATCAACAAAAGACTGAAAGATGTCCTCTTCACAGACCAGTGGAGTGAAGTCTGCATGGAGAGATTAAGCCCCTTTGGTTATGTTCTGGTCAGTCATGTTTTAATTTTTTTTTTGTGCAAATGCTTAGACTCTGAGCACTGAAATGCCGAATGAAATGCTAAAGGGCTTACAGTAGATTTGTGCACRCTGCGTTATCGCTGATGAGATCTCTACTTCTTGCTGTTCAGCCTCATTTTGTTCCCTGAGCAACGAATGGGGTGGTGATTTATAACAGGCGTGTAATGTCAGTGTATCAGCTATCCTCCGCTGTCTGCCGGGATGGTCGTTCAAAGTCAAGCTCTTCGTCTTCCTCTCTTTCTAGCTTCACAGCTAATATCTTGACGGCTGCACATGCCTAGAAATTCCGATATGTTAAGAAAGCTGAGTGAGTTTGCTGTCAATTTAAATGAGTGATTAGCATATTAAAAAAAACACCAACAGCAGACACTGCAGCTGTGGTACAGTAGGTGTTGCACTGGCTGCTCCAGAAACAAAGCTTGGCACAGTTGGTCTGGTGAGCCAGAGAGCTGCGTGAATAAGCTGTCGAGCTACAAGTGTTGGACAAATGTCTCCCAGGGTGCWGTTTTATTTTTGGATCACACTGTCAGTGTTGATGGGCGTCTGACAGTGAGACTGATGCTTTCCTCCAGCTATAGTCTGCTCGTTTGCTTTGAACCTCACTAAAATCATTTTCATAAGATTTCTCTGTCGACTTCTAGTGAATATTCATACAGAACGTCAGCAGTTGTGTAAAGGTGGAGATGTGTTCGTAGTATCAGAAAGGAGTTATATAGTCATGTCACTGGTGTAAACAGACATGTAGTAACAAAATGCATCATCCTGTTTTCAGACTGTCTGCTCACCAAGACTAATTTTCAGGTTGGAGCTATAATCGCTGCGAGCGCTGGTCAAATCAGCCTTTTACTGCAGCAACACTGAGCTTACAGGACGTTTTTTTCTTTTCAGCTGTTCACTTCACAATTACAGCTGACTGTCACTGAAATGTCTGAGGAAGCTATAATTTTTGCTCTTAAATGGCACAGTCTTTTGAGTTTGTTGCGTCAAGGCCTTTTGTATGCAGATTCAGAAGCACCGTCTGCTGACATCCTGTTCAAACCTGGCTATAAATCTGTCTTGGGCGAATTGATTGCAATTCAACAGCTTTGATTTAATTTTTAAAAAATCACACTTGCATTTCTACTTAAAAATGTTTTTGCGATTGAATGTCAAAATGACAATATAGTCAGACATCAGAGCTATATTATTAGATTATTTTGACACGGTTAAAAATCTCCACACTTTTATCGAGAAGGATTCTGATAAGCATTTCATTAAAACTTTTAGCCAAAAAGAGATTAGAAAAGTTTAGGAAACAATAAATAAAACAGTCTGTCGACAGATACATTGGAGATGTAGTTGTGGTTTTAAATATTTAATTGTTTAAAGTCTTGTGGCTGAAGCTGATTTTTTTTTACCTTGAGATATCCAGGTGTTTAGCTGCAGCTTGTGTGGGGTCTTGCCAGTAGGGATGTCCCGTTCAGATCCTCAGTATTGGTGGCAGATATGGCCATTTTTGAAAATCGGGTAGAATTGGATTTAGTCATGTGATCGGGCCGATCCAGTTTTCGCCACAATTTTCAGCATCATCATGCTTTACAACTGCCGTTAAGAAGTCAAGACGCACACAAGTATGCAACCATGTGCACAGTGTGGGAACACTTTTCAATGGAAAACAAGGATGCTGAAACTGCATCTTGCTAAATCTGCAAACTGGATGTTTTTCGTGGTGGGAACAGTAGGGCTTGCTTTAATACTACCAACCTTGTCATTTAGAAAGAAAGAAAAAAATAAAGCTATCAGATCGGAATGGGAAAGACTAATCATTTAAAAAATCGGATCGTATCGGGAGCCAAAAAATCTGGATTGGGACATCCCTACTTGCCAGTTCATTAGGTGATCCTACATCGAGGCTCAGTTTTAGTGTACTTAAATAGCAGTTCATTTGTTGTTATTAATAAACAGTGGAGGGACATGGTGACCATTTGCATTGGATAATGGAATGCATAAACTGTTAGCTTATCTGCTAACATGACATGTTTTTTATTTTTATTTTTTTATTTATTATTTTTTGTTTGTTTGTTTTGAAGGTTGAACATGCGCATCTGCACACATGTTGTTACATGTTTTCTCTGTCTCTTGCACATTTACTTATTTGGACCTAAATAACTTTGCTGCTGTAAGCACAACAAACGTAGCTTGAAAATGACTTTACCTTTTCTCATCTATGATAAACRAATATTTACTGCATTCACACTCGGCCCAGAATATAAACTCTGTTGCCTTAATGGTTCAGTGGATTACATTATGCAACAAAGTCCTTCGACTCGGCGGTTAGCATGCAGGCAAAAAAGGGTCTGTCACGTGTGTCTGTGTGTGGAGGGGGTGCTGTTAATGCCTGCAAGGCTTTTTTGCTTGATGTGATTGTGCTTCTTCAGACTGATCGGGGTGCGTAAATGACTTTGTAATGGGGGAGGGAGGGGTGAACGTTCTTATCTGGGACCGGGTTTGATGCTGCGTGCAAATTTGTGCTCCACCTAGATTAGAAAGTGTTGGTGCTCGATTCCTGGCTGTTTTTCCGACTAGCACAACAATATCTGCTGTGCTTTTTCCTGCCTGATGAGCAGAAATGTCAAAATCTGCAYATCATGTAGCACAAGAAGAAACTGGATGTTGAAGGAGTTTTTATAAAAGCCATTTTACTGCAGGATGTTCACACAAATGGGGTGAAAAACAGAAAGTGTAGCGTCCTTGATGTGCACCAAGGTCACAGTAGAGATGCAAAGGAGAGCGTGGACCATGATGTTTTGCTTTCACACAGTTAAGCTGTTGTTCGAGTGAAATGTGCGGCTCTCCTCTTTAGAGAATTATGCAAAGTTGCTCTTCTTATCTCTTCTGATTCCATTTTTTTCTTTATTTGCCTATCAGGTGACGTCACAGCGAATGCAGGGGTTGTTACTGCTCATCTTTGCCAAATACTTCCATCTGCCTTTCCTCCGTGGAATCCAGACCGAGACCACCCGCACAGGCCTGGGGGGTTACTGGGTAAGATGGTCACTGCATTATGGAAAATTCACACAGCAGAGCGTAAASCGAAAATGGTGGACTGTATCTCTGTTGTGGTTTCAACCCGAGGACTGAATAAGAAATGAAAATTACGTGACAGACTGCATCATTTCAGATCTTAGAATTTGTTAGTCAAATCCTGCCTCACCCAGTTTTATGGTTAGTTAACCCTGACCCTTTAACTTTGACAAAACGATGCTGTCTGTTTGCGAATATGTGGTGACACTGAAAACTGAACTAGGCGAGGAAGTATCAAGTGTGGTTTAGAATATAATGATACTCTCTTAGATCTTTCTTTGCATTTACAGCTGGTTTCAAGCAAGTCTGACAACTTTAAAACCAGTCAGACCACTTCACAATCAAAAAGTATTTTCAGTATCGTCACTGTAATGCACTCTCTAAATWTAGAAACTAAAAATATTTATGATTTTGGATTGTGTTTTCAGCTTGTATTTGTTTTGTGTTTACCTGCATTACAGTATTGCTTGAAGGAATGAGCTGTGAACAACTGTAAAATTTGATGGGTTGCATTTCATTAAATAATTTAGCYGTRGCRGCYATCTTGACAAGGGTTGACTCTAAATGTTATTGAGTTGTWATGTTCAGTGGTTACTTTGTGAGAGTTTCATTAAATCTGTCCATTGGTTCATGATATATTTTGCTAATTAACCAGTGGTTAAATCTGCTACAGTGCATCTCATCTTCTATGAGCTTAATGTTCTTCCATGTGGTTCYTGATAAACAAATAAAATAAAGATAAACTCACATCATTATAGTAATTACCTGGGTCACTGATGTCTTTAACAACCTTTTAGCTAAACTTTTCACAGTAAACACTAAGATAGGCAGAGTTWATGCTCCAAACATTGTTTTATTGAGTCAGAGGAGAAAATCCACTGACTCACTTCATGCCTCCGGTGTGCACTTGACTGTTTGCATTAAATATTGATGCTGTTTAATCTTTAATGAGGATACTTCCTCGTTTGCTGTGTAGTAGACAAATAAAWGCAGTGGGGGAAGAAAATTATATCCCACTACTTGGACTTTATCACTAAAAATGATAATCTCAAACAGCCTTTTTTGTACTTGTGGCTTCCCTTTTGGACACATTTAACTTTCAGTTCAGCGACAATTTGTTAACGTTGTTTCAAATTACAACGAGCCACGTTGGGGCACATCAGCGCAGTCAAGTTGATCATTATACTCTCTTACAAAAGTTGATTTCTTTTCAACTTTCATAATCTGCAATACAAATGTTTTCCTTTTATTTAACTGATAGGTGTCAGGTTGTGAAACATGGAAGCTCTGTGTCCGGGTCTCTGCCCTGTTCCGTGGGAGTTCCGCAGGGTAGCATACTGGGCCCATTGCTTTTCCTATTATGACCTTCCAAAAATATTGAAGTATTCAAATATTTTAATGTATGCTGATGATACTGTTCTTTTTTGCCTGATTTCAATATTGAATCTATTAATAGTCAGTTACAAGCAGATCTTCAGACATTTCATGGTTGGCTTCAAGATAATCTTTTGTCAATTAATGTTAAAAAAACCGTGTGCATGTATTTTTCCTCACCCAGGAGACATTTCAATATAACAAATCAACTCACTTTTTAAAACAAACCCCTTGATATTGTCACTACCTACAAATATCTTGGAATTATTTTGGATTCTCATTTGACTTATCGTGATCATGTACAAGTCTTAACCACTAAGTTGAAACAGAAACTATACGTTTATTCAAAAACTAGATCCAATCTGACATCTTCTGTTTCAAATATCTATCTTCATGCCATTATACTCTCAACCATGTCRTACTGTTTACCTGTTTGGTCTCTTACAACAAATGAAATCTTAGAACCCATAGTTAGGCTCTACAACAGGGCCTACAAAATTCACAAAAACTCCTTGGTTGGACTCATCACTGTACAGTTCTTTCATTGTCTGATGCCTTGACTTTTCAGAATTATGTTTTGTATAGTGGTATTAATTTCTATTTTCAGATCTTCCAAGGTGYCARTTATGGAACTCTCTGTGCATTGTTGCCCAAATCAAATTCTGGAAGTGGTCATTCAACTAGATCTGTTACAAAAGGACAACTGATATTACCAACTTTTWAAAACTGTTACRGCCAGAGGTCTTTCTTCTATGTTTATACTAAAGCATGGAATGACATTCCTCAAAACATAAAGTCCATTTCAAAACTACAGCCCTTTAAGAAGAATCTTGTCTGCCATCTGCTGGACACTTTTTGTTGTGCTCATATTTAGATGTCCAATTTTGCAAATGCTGCCTTCCTGAAATTTGGTATGCTTGTTTGTCTTTGTGTCTATGGTGTAATATTAATGATGTGATTGTGATGCTGTATTTCTGAGTGTTTTATGTGCTGCAGAACAGGAACTTGCTGTAAAACAGCAATTATGCTGAGTCAGGCTTGATTTTTAGTAATCTTTTCCTGTTAAATWAAAAAAAAAGTTTCATTTGCTATTTGTYGGTGTTGCAGGGGAATAAAGGTGGTGTTAGCGCCCGCATGTCAGCGTTCGGTCACAGCATCTGCTTCCTCAACTGCCACCTGCCGGCTCACATGGAGAACTCAGAACAGCGCATGGAAGACTTTGAGGCCATCCTGCAGCAGCAGCAGTTTGAGGGCCAGGCGGCCATCGGGGTTCTGGATCACGAGTAAGTCAGCATATTAGCACACTTGTGCATGTATGCACTATAGTTTTATAAATCTGCAAAGGAAATATATGGAACCAGCTGACTACATACAGTATATGTGTTTAACACACTCCAGATGTGTAAAATTACATCAGAAACATCATCTTCAAGGTTTATTAGGTGTCACATTTAAAGGTTTTATCAATTACCAGACAAGGTATCTCAATGATTACTTGCCAAAGTACTTTCAATTTAAAGTGTAYTCAATATTTAAACATTTTTATTATGATTTATAGGATTTAAGTAATGGATATTACCAGGAAACAATGCTGTAAAAGGCTCCTTACTGCTGCTGTAATTTTACATTTAAACATTTCCAATTTGTGATATATATCTTATATTCTTAAACAGTCACAGAAAATCCAATTTTTATCAATAAAAATTAGAACAACAACCAATTATTCATCAACATGCATTGTTTTACTTATAGTAGATTAGAAAAAAAGGGAGGGAGTAACAAATGACCGAAAATTTACTGTTCATTTTTATTATTTGAATAAACAGAACCCATCTAACTCCTTAATGAGGTCGTCAGWTATAGCTTTCACAGTTTCTGACCACTAGCAGATTGAAATTATCTGCCACATAAAATCAGATTTTACAACATCAGAAGTGAAATAATAAGGTTTTGTTTTACTGTTTTAAAATTTCAAATCTACATATTTTTAAAACATAACTTTCTCTACCAGTAACTACAGAAATTTTAAATTCTTAAATAAGTTTTGCTTGAATAATTTCCTGTTTTGTTTGTTCCGTTTGTTTTTCCAGCCTAGTGTTCTGGTTTGGAGATCTCAATTTTCGCATCGATGACCTGGATGTGCAAGTTGTGAAGTCAGCCATTGATAACAACAAGTTATCAGTTTTGTGGGAAAAAGATCAGGTAAAAATAAAGGTTTGATGCACAGATTTTAATTATAAGAAAAGATGAAACATTATTATTTGTTCTGGATACAGTACATATTAAACTCTGAACCCACAWTGACCTCTTCTTTTTGTATTGATTTGTCATCTTTTGCAGCTGAACATGGTGAAAGACAGTGAGATGGTGTTGGAGGGATTTCAAGAGGGGCCATTAAAGTTCCCTCCTACCTACAAGTTTGACGTTGGAACCAACACATACGACACGAGGTCGGTGATGCCGTGGGCTGAGTGGGCTATTACCATTTCTAGGACACTGATCAGAGACCACTGTATGAATTATTACACTCTCCTCTCTGAAAGGTCCTTGCTAGCCTGAGGGGCGTGTGAAGAGCCGTGTTTTTTTTCCCTTTTTAGTTCTTTTTTTAACAACACTTTTCTTCTCTGCTCCGCTTCACTTCTCTCCCTTGCAACATCACCAGCGGGAAGAAAAGGAAGCCAGCTTGGACCGACCGGATCCTCTGGCGCCGGAGAGCCACTGTGCCTGCTGCTCAGGGTGTGGGGAAGCGTGGTTCTGTGTCAGGTCTCACCAGTGGGATCAAAGTGACCCAGCACAACTACCGAAGTTACATGGAGTACACCGTCAGTGACCACAAACCGGTCTCCTCCATCTTCACCCTGCAGGTGAAGACAGTCAGACACACAGTCCCTGACAAAAAACAGTTCTTATTTGAAGCTGCAACACTTAACCTATATAATCCTCTTCGTAGTTCCCATACAAGGTGGATGTTCCACTGGTCACACTGGTTGTRGAGGATGAGTGGAACACTGTTGAGGATGCAAAAACAGTGTTTAAATTRTCACCCAACTATTCTCGCAGCTCCTGGGACTGGATTGGATTGTACAAGGTGACTTATCTTAGCTCACCTTGATAGCCTTTGAAAAGTCTACGTGAACAACCTGTGAGTGCAGCATAAGAGCTTTTTTTTTTAATCATTTTGCAATTGCACCCATAGGTGGGTTTCAAGCACCACAAGGATTATGTGGGCTATGTGTGGGCCAAGCAGGAGGAGAATGACTTTTATCGTCAGGAACATCAGGTAATCAGAGTGCATGTCGAAAGCTCCTCTGAGATACTTTTTTTTTCTGTCACGTTTGCTAAACATCTGAAAATATTTTTACAGGTAACCTTTACCGAGGAGGAATTACCCAAATGCTCAGGAGACTTTATCTTGGGTTACTACAGCAACAACATGAGCTCCATTGTGGGTGTAACAGAGCCATTTCAGGTAATCATAACCCATCGCTTTTTCTCAAGTTTAAGGTATTTACAGTAGATGCTAGAATCTAGAAACCCCTCCTTTATATACTTCAGAGGTGCCCAAAGTGGGGGCCGCGGGCCAAATTTGGCCTGCCAAGCCATTTGGTTTGGCCCACTAGCAGTTGTCCTGGTTACTAGACTGTAATCTCCTGTTTTATGTAGAAATACTATATTTGCACTTAGTCTTTTCAAACATTGGTCCAACTTTAGGTACAAGGAGCTGTAGTCAGATAGTCTTAACTTATGGTGCTCACTTTATCGTTGAATTATGTAAAGATTAAACTTAAAATACAAGTAACTTCAAGAGACATTTGGGTTGTGTCCAAAACGACAGGCCGGGTCCTCTGGAGGACCCAGACTACCCGGTCGCGGCGGGCCGGGTCCTTGGTAGACCGGAAAGACCGGAAAAAAAGAGGCTGTGAATTTGGACGGTCTAGCCTCCCCTCCTTACCCCGGCGTACGTCATGTCACCTAGCAACTGTGACGAYGCTAAACAAGCAAACTTAAATCAAAATTTGAAAAATATCAATACATTAGCATTATTAATATCACAAAACTATAAAATTAACTTAAAGGTATCATTTGAAGAACTAATTGAACAGCTGTAGGTTCATGTTTATTTCACGTTTTTTATGACGAAACAATAATATGTAAAAACATGTCCATACAAATGATAAAAGTATTAGAATTACAACCGCTAAATTTTTTTAATTTTTATGTCACCATATTTTTATTTAAAATGTATTCTTTTCTCTCGCTTCGTCCGCCATTACTAGCATAAAAAAATCTCCGGTCGGGCCGCAATGCATTATGGGATATGCTGGGCCGGSAAGGATCCATCAGACCTGTCCTTCGATTCGGGCCAAAGGAAGGACGTATTTGTCGGCCGCATCGGAGGAGTCTTCGGTTTTGGACGTCCTTCGTCGCGGCGCTGTGACGAATGCAGAAACGACAAATTCGACCTTCGGAGGACCCGTCCTGCCATTTTGGACACAGCCTTAAATTAGATTTAAGTCCATTTCTAGAATTGCACACCTTAAAAGACTACGGATACTCAAATTTTAAATTATGAAAAGTCCCATGAGCCTTTGCTGCCTGAGCAAACGTTGAATGTTCTCCATGCCCATGGGCTGAAAAAAACAAACAAATAAACATAAAATGTGGGCAACCGCACTGGCTGCTAGCTTAATCATAAAAAATACAGCTTTCCTTGAAGTATTTGCATTTTGTGTATTATATTATTGCATTTGGCCCACCACCCTCAGATTGATTTTAATTTTGGCCCTTTCAGAGAAAATGTTTGGGCACCCCGATATACTTTTTCTAATGTTCAAATGTATCCTCAGATCCAGCTTCCAACTTTAGAGCACGTCAGCAGCTCTTCAGACAGCTCCGACTTCAGCTCAGAAGACGACAGCACCGTCGTCATGAAGGTGMGGTCCCACAGTTCCAGTCCTCAAAAGGACAAACACCGTCGGAGCGGCAGCCGCAGTCGCTCAGGCAGCCGCCCCAGCAGCCCGACGCAGGCCCAAACCGAGGAGCTGAAGACCGCCGACAGGAGCGCAGCAGAAACAGAGTCTGCAGGATGCCCAGAAGAGGGCGGCAGCAGGCAGCAGCAGGCTGGTCCTGGGGAAACAGACAAACACACGGAAGATTCAGGAATGTGATGCAACCCTCGGTCCCGCTGTTGTTGCAGGTTACATAGCCAAATGTTGTCTTTATTTCATACATCAAGTACACTGTATATTGTCTGTGATGCCATCTGTTTCAGAAATAATCATCTGGTTTGTCTAGATGGTTTATTTGGCCTTGAGTTGTTTTTCTAAACCGTGCACTTTGCGTGTTTTTTTTTGTATACCTCTCACTTTCTCCAGTGTTTCCTCTATCATTGTCTGTTCTCAGGTGTGGACTGTACAGGGAGCTCATAGCTTGTGTTAGAAATTAGAAATTACTCAAGGATTATGAGGTTCGTGTAGCGCTGTAACTAGATATGATTTAAAACCATCTTCACTTTCCAGACAGTGTAGACACTTTTCACTTGCTCACATATCATTCACTACTTGTTTAAAGGGGCAAAATATGTCTAAAATGAGAGAATTTRGCTGATTTAAAACTGAAACTCTTTTCCAGCTTTAAGAGTTGCTCGTTTCTGCGAACAGAGACAGCCAGGCAGGTTTTTTTTTTAAATATGAGTCTGGCCTTACAAACGTTGCCTGCGTTGGRAAGTCGACACACGTGACAACGTGACACATGATATGCAGGGAGCACCTGAACTGATCTATTTCAAAATCAGAACACCATTCCAGGGTGCAAAAAAACGGACGAACTAAAGTAAGTGGAGACGAGGCTCAGATGTACGTGGCACACTGAACGTCGGCTTAGTGTGTAACGATATGGACAAGGGTCTTTAAATAGACAGTTGTATCGCTGCATCAGGGAGTGAGGGGTGTGGAAGGTCACTCAGCTGTTGTACAGCTGTCCTGCCATAAGTAGAGGATTAACAGTTGGTCCCTTACTGCCAACACCAGWAAAATCTGCAGCAATACCTGACAATGTTCCAGTGTTTGTGACAAGTCTTCAGCTTCACAACCTTAAATCTCCATTATTCAACAGCAGAAAAAAAAACATTATTGTTTGATTGCACTTTGCTTTAAAGGGGACATAACATGAAAAATCTACTTTAATAGCCATTAAATACATTTTGTTGTGTACTTGGAGTGCAGAAAATTTGAATTTAGTCTATCCCARTGCTGCTTGGTTGTCTTTATATTCTGTTTGAGTCATATTTTTTAACCYGTTCAGTTTTCTCTTTGACGTTTTCCAAACTATGTCATCAAAGTATTTGCTACGGAACTTCTAAATAAGGTCTGGACTTACTAATTAAAATTTTGCCGTCTTCATTCACCTCTTTCTCTGGGTCAGACTCAGGCTCCAACATGTAAGGATGTGGACAAGTCTTCAGTTGTTGACATCTTTATTAATTTGTAAATAGAAACTTTTTGCACTTCAATACAGTTTTTAACCCCTCTATCAAATAAGAATGGAAGCTGGAGGAGGGCGGAGTGTGAAGTGCATCTTTTGGATTTAAAGAGACAGCCTCAAAACGAGTTGATCTGAGACACACCTCAGAAAAGAGGTGAAAGAGGGGCTTGTGGAGTTACAATAAAGAGRAATTCAGACCAAAGCATTTGCAGTTCCACTTTATATAGACCCCAACTGAATGAGTTATATTTGAAAAAGGATTTAAAAGTATGATATGTCTCCTTTTAAATGAAAACATTTCCCGTTACGCTTGAACCCCAAACCAAATTTAATTTGTAAATTACAGATGTAATGTGCTTTTAAGTTGCATGATACAAAGCTAAAATGTTTGATATCATGAATTAAGGAACTAAAGCTACCCCAGTAAATGCCTTACTTTTTTTCTTTATTTTTTTTTTCTTTTCAGTTTCTTGTTTAAGTTTTTCCTCTTGGTCACATCCTCTCCTAATGATCGATTAATTAGCTGACCGAAAACAAACGTCATAATCTTGGACTTGTCTTTCTGGGGCTGTTATAGGATAATGTTGTGGCCGTAACATGAGYGTGTGTGTCTTCAAATAGCTGTTTATGTGTGTGTGTGTGAGTGGATGTGTGAGAATAACTGCTGATATGAATGGTACAGGGGCTGTRTTTGCATGGTTTACTGCTGGACATACGTACATTTCAGTACTGTGGTTTTTGTACCGTGAACTTGAAGTGCTGTTTTTGACTCCTGTTTGTCATATCGGTGACTGTGAAAATTGTTAGAAAAACTGGATAGGAACAGTATGAAATTTTAACTTATTTGTAAATGTTAGTTCTAGAAATAAAAGCATAGTTATACTTGGATAAAATCAAAATTGTTGGAATCTTATGGTGCAATCATAGTTTTTTCTTGATTTTGAAATAAAAAAAATGAATGGACTTTCATTTGAAAAAAATATTTGAAAACAGGTTGTCCTACTTTAGACCATTTAGATCTGTATCTTTGGTACTGCATTCATGACCAGTGGCTGTTAAGTGTCTGATGGACGTTACCGTTTTGTAATTTTGTGGCTATGATGTTGGAAAATGTATGTAAAGAACAAATATAAAGTTTGTCAAAAATATCATATATATACCATATAGGAGACAATCTATAACACAAAGATTATTTTCCTTAAATTATGTATTTATTTTCTTATTTAACTTTAAATGAGCCTGAATTCTGCTGGGCAGTGTTGAAGCTTTATTTCAGTGCATATAATAATTATATTAAGGATAAATTTTATTGCTTTTTACTATAGTAACTAATGAGAGATTATTTCTTCTATTTCCATCTAAGTTCATTTAAATTCTGGTTTTGCTGTCACAATGTAGATTGTTTAGTCTACATGTGTTTGTATAAACGTGATTGAAATAATAGAAGACTTCAACAAGCCTGTGTGACATTGATGGCAGCTTATTATGATCAAGTTTTATCTCTGTAAAGTTGTTGGAGCAAAGCATTAGGAARGTTGTTTATGAGTTTCTTGCTTTGTTCTCCATCCCCAAAACTACAAAAAACTGTCCAAAGAAATAAAATATTATCTTTTAAACTACATACTGTCTATGACTGTCTTAATGTGTTTTATTTTGAACTCGTTTATATTGGGTTTAATTTTGTTACATTTGTTAGAAATTGTGTGAAAGAAAAAGTAACAAAAATAATGATTAAACATGAACATGCTATTTACAAAATAGAGAAACACTGAGCTGAATGGCTGCTGAAACTTGCAAAAATAATCTAAAGATGATTTATTACAGCTAAAAAAAAGCTGAACTTGAGCTAAAAGGAGCAAAATGTTATAGATAACTTTTGAAAGGTGCATATCTATAAGATAAATGCAAATAGCTAAAAATGTAAAAGTATGTAGTGAGTTCTTGATTTATTTATATGAGAAAAAGTAACATTTTTGAAAAAGTGTAAGAAAAAGTTTAATAAAGTCAGAACACATTTCCTCAATTAGCTGAATATTCTAACAAAAGAATTACTAAAAATATTGTATGTGCAGCAATWTATGGCAAAATTGTAGGTACAAAGAAAAAAAACAGGAAGCAGCATTCAGACTATTTACACAATTAGATCAATTGTCCTCATTATAACACTATGAGTTATACAGTTGTCTTGTGATGTTTACTTTGCTTTTTGCATCAAAAGGTTCATATTAGTATTTTGTCAGTCATGTTGGGGGTCAATGACACATTCCAGCACTAGTTTTAACTACAATTGTAATACAACCACACTAATCTAAGTCAMTGAAATCTTATCTGCTGTTTTTGACTGTCTGAATGAGCATCAAACTAACAACTCATCCTACAAAGAGCAACATCGGGTGCACCTTGCATCATGCTTCCTCCTATTGGAGCAAAAATGTCAGCATTGCACATTCATGCTGACTGGACAGTGCTGATGCAACACTTGGACTGAATTACTTTTTTGAGTCTAAACACTACAATAAAATGAGTATTTTTGATATTCAGAGAATGCAATGTCTATAAAGACAAAGGATGACAGTAAAATTTATCATATGAGCAGTCACTGTTCATCAAAATGTTACCTTTTATTTTTGGCCCTATTTAGAAGATTCTGACATTGTTTTTATTGTATTTTAGTAAATGTTACCCAATCACTAATTAATTTCTATTTAGCATAATAAACAGTGGTCTGATGTTAAAGTACTTTTAAAAGTTTTGAATCTACTAAAAACAGAGAAGAATGTCACTGACTGAAATATTCGTAAATGTTTCAGTGTGGATAGGAATGTGTTGCACCTTCAGTATGTACAAAAGTCTTTTGAGGGTCTTAATTTCTCCAGCTCCAGTTCAAATGGGCTTTTTAAAAGCACTTATMTAAATGTTGTTTTCAAAAATTTAAGAATGACAATAACACTTCTTTTTTTGTTGTTTTTTCAGTAAAACAATTTGTTTGGTGGATAAAACCAACATAGACCTGTACTTTACAGCATTAATTTGGGGGCTATGGTGGAACAACATGGCTCATCAGTTTTGTCATCATGTTACACAAGAGGACCTGAGGCCTAATAGTAGCTTTTTATATTTATTATAACCAAATTATTTGGGTACACAATGTTCCCAGGAACTGTTCCATCCATCACAGGCCCATTTTCTCTTTGCTACACAGACAGATAAATCTTTATTGTCTGTAACAAAGTGAAGTCTGGCCACAGGTTAGTCACATGATCCAATTCAATCCAATTTGTCAGATTAATTATATGAACACTGGTTTAAACCAAATTTCTACAGTGGTCTAAACTACAAATTGTTTCCTTGAGTCAAACACATCAATAAATACACTGTAAAGCTACATGTGGTTATTTAYGTTAATGTTTTGCTTCATATGCAATTTAAAAAACTGTGAATGAAAATGATCTAAATCACATTTTTGTAAGTTTAATTTCTTGTTAGGTAAAATTTCAGATCTAAGCGTAGCAAGAAGATATCATATCAACAGTTAACTTATACTGTATCAATCAAAATGAACAGGAGCTTAACTTAAAATAGCTCCTTTATGACATAAAAAACTGTAAAAGCTATTAACAGCTACATCATAGATATCACAAATGTAAGTTATCAATGTAAGAAATCTATTAAAGATTATTGATAGTGTAGCTGTGGATATCTGAAGCTGAAAGGTCAATGAAAAAAAACGAGATGTCTGAAATGTTGATTAAGTCCTTATCTTTATAAGGACTTATATTTATAAGTCCTAATATTTCAGATATATCTGAAATATTCTTTTTGATAAGACAGATTTGAATAATTGACATCGGCAATAGTTATCCAGTCTATTCAAAAAAATTATAATTTAATGATTTATGTATCTCAAACTTGGTTTTATCTGTAGTCTATCTCCATCTTCATTGTAAAGAATTTGAAACATACTTGTAAGGACATTATCTCAGACGTTAACAGTCATTCTGATCACAAACACTATTATCTTCATATTTTTTCAAAAAGTAAGAGACAAAAGCATGGTTAATTTGTATTGTATTAATCTGTCTCTATTTTATAAATTTTAGTTGTCATGTAAGGGTTTTCAAAGCACGTGGTTCCGGTCTTATTTGGATTGCGCAGTCCTGGTTACAGAGGAGAGTTGTTCCACGATAGGCTGATAGAAGCTCCGCCTTCTCTTGCGTGATGACGTCAAACATATAACAGTGGAGCACTGCGCCAAGCACTCAGAATTGCGAATCACTACACTCAAGACGAGAAGCAGACGGACAGGAGGAAACGCGGCACACGATATTAAAACTAAACTTAGACAATTATCAACATAACACTTATTTCACTTTGTACCAGCAACATCCGTAACAATGATGAACGGAGAAATGAACGGTTTTCATAACTCCTTTATTGAGGAGGACTGCTTCTTGTTCACCTCGGAGTCGGTCGGAGAAGGACACCCCGGTAAGACTCGGCATGATGCCGGCCTTTTGTCAGAACGTGTTTTGTTAAATAAGTGACCATTGTTATGTGACTTCAACGTAATGTTTAGCCTCTCGCAACATATATTTCACGACTCATTTATATATATATAAAACAAAATAGGTGGTTTAAAAAGATGACGGCCTTAGCTAATAATGGAGCTGGGCCGGCCTCCTGAGCACGCGCTATATAAGCTAGCCACACCACGCTTTTAAGAGGCCAAATCTCGCGGGCTCTTCAGGCCGCCGACATGACCGCTGATATTATCTGCTGACCATAACAATGTTGATAGTGGGAAACGTCTTGTAAGATCGGGTCAGTGCAATTATGATTTTAATTTCGTAAGTGTCGGGGTTGCCTTCCGGTCCCCGGCTGGTTGCGCGCGCTTCTCKGTCACACGTGCTTGTGCCGAAATGGCGAGTGTAACTGGACTCCGTGTCCTAATCCTACACCGGACCGGCGGCGCTGCCTTTCATCATTTTCTTTTGTCTTGTGTGTTTGCAGCAGTTTGTGATCAGTTTTAATTTGTGCATGTTTAGATAAAATCTGTGACCAGATCAGTGACGCAATCCTAGACGCTCATCTCAAGCAAGATCCTGATGCCAAAATTGCATGTGGTAAGAAAGTCGTTTTTGTTTTACAGTACTCATTATTGGTTATTAACACTTTGTGGTGTTTTCCACTCCCTGTGCTTATTTGTTTTTGCGTTTGTCTGGTTGATGCAGAGACTGTTGCCAAAACTGGGATGATCCTGCTGGCAGGAGAAGTGACATCACGTGCAGTAGTGGACTATCAGAAAGTTGTGCGTGACACAATCCGCCAAATTGGATATGATGACTCTACAAAAGGTRTGGCATGTTGTTCAATGTCAGTTCCTTGCTCAATTTGGCAATTGTGTTTTTTGTATTGACTTAAGACACTCTTCTGAACAGGGTTTGACTATAAGACCTGCAAYGTGCTTGTGGCCTTGGAGCAGCAGTCTCCTGATATTGCTCAAGGTGTTCACATTGACCGTAATGAGGAGGACATTGGAGCTGGGGACCAGGTCAGTTTTGTTTACAAATATATTTGATTGATTAATGTGAACTAAAGTGTACCTTGTTTTAGTCTGAACTCTGTGTTTTGCTTTGTAGGGCTTGATGTTTGGATATGCAACCGATGAGACCGAAGAGGGCATGCCGCTCACAATTATCCTTGCCCACAAGCTGAATGCTAAGATGGCTGAAATGCGACGAAACGGGACCCTCCCATGGCTCCGGCCAGACTCAAAAACACAAGTAAAGCTGTATTTATTGTAGCTTCAGTTTTCCTGCTTTATTTGTCTTAAGAAAAAAAAAATACAAGATTTTTTTTGTGCGTTAATTATGGCTCATTTGTTTTCACCATTGTTGTAGGTGACTGTGCAGTATCGCCAGGACCGTGGTGCTATGCTCCCTGTGCGAGTGCACACAATTGTCATTTCTGTTCAGCACGATGAGGAAATCTGCCTTGAGGAGATGAGGGATGCGCTGAAGGAGAAAGTTATCAAGTCTGTTGTTCCTTCGGTATATTTGGACGATGACACCATTTACCATTTGCAGCCTAGTGGGCGGTTTGTCATTGGTGGCCCTCAGGTAAGCATCAAAATGTAGCTTTTAGGAAATTTACACTCTGCAGTTTTACTTACAGGGTAACGTCTGTTCTTGCCCTAACAGGGAGATGCTGGTCTCACTGGACGTAAAATCATTGTAGACACCTACGGAGGCTGGGGAGCCCATGGTGGTGGAGCTTTCTCTGGGAAGGATTACACAAAGGTAGATCGCTCTGCTGCCTATGCCGCACGCTGGGTGGCCAAGTCTCTGGTGAAGGCTGGGCTCTGCAGAAGAGTGCTGGTTCAGGTGTGTAGTGTTATCARAGTCCGTCAGTCTTCATTATGTAATGAGTTCCCAGAGGTTCTGCTTAACGATTTTGTTTTTATGCTCGATATAACTCATTTTTGTGCTGCATCAGGTGTCCTATGCCATCGGAGTTGCCCACCCACTCTCCATTTCTATCTTCCACTACGGGACGTCCCAAAAGAGTGAGCGTGAACTGCTTGACATTGTGAGGAAGAACTTTGACCTCCGTCCCGGAGTCATTGTCAGGTAAAGTTAAAATGTGACGCTAAGTGAAACGGCACTTTGAAAGTGTCTTCGTTCAGTTGCCCAGCTCAAGATAAGGTTAATAAGTTAACCATTAATTAGCAAAGTTTGTTACAGTTAGCACTTTGCTGTAATTTTATCAAAAGATGACTTGGCATTATTGCATCATTTTATGTAGTACTATTAGATAAAAATAGGAGTTGGAGTCTTTTTTTATTGAGGGGAAGAATGAATGTATCTGGCAAAGAAAAGCCAAACAGTTCAGGGAGAGGAGCATTTTTTTTAAAGCAGATAAGGGTTCTTCAAGTGACTGTGTCCAGTTGGTTGAAAGGGTAAGTGTTGAAGCATCAGTTACATTTACATATACCAGCCATGCTCTTGATGGGTTTGACACTCCCACTGGCTTCTGTGTGCGTTATTTATGAATGTGTGTTAAAGTTGACATGTGTGACCGCTGTTAAAAATGTTGATTATGTATTCCAGGGAGCTGGATCTGAAGAAGCCCATTTATCAGAGGACCGCAGCCTATGGCCACTTTGGCCGAGACGCCTTCCGATGGGAGGTGCCGAAAAAGCTCAAATACTAAACCTGTTAAGCTTTTCCCCCCAGGCTTGTTGGTGTATACTACAGAGAAGCCTCCAAGTTTCCAGGGGTGAAATGCAGTTCTCTCTTCTCTTCTCACTCTTTCTCTCCCTCTCTCAAATATGACACATGACTCCATCCCTGACTCCACCTCCATCCTTGTCGTTACTGTTTTTCTGCTGGTTGCGCAACTGCTGGGTCCTAGAAGGCATGCCTCAGAAGCTTGATGCATTAAATTGGGTGGATTCCACGAACTTGTGCCTGATGTGACTTCATGTTCTCCAGGCTAGCCGTTTTCCTGCTTCTTTTGTCATAGTCAGTAGCTGCATTCATTTGTTCTCTTTGGCATTTCACTCCTGTCAGTGTCGTAAGTCTTCAACTTGATGTCACTGCGGTAGCATATTTGGCAATATGCGATACCCCTCTTAATTTTCTGGTGCTATTGAAAATAAGGAGTAAATGTTAGATCTAATATTTTGGAAGTCTGTCTAAATGTGTAATGTCATAGTTGCAGTTTCCCGCCACTGTCCCCTGAAGTTAAGTTTCGTTATGAACATTCCTCCCTTTTCTTGTCTGGTACAAGTACTCCTTGTTCTGGTGGTCTTTGTCTTTTTGGCTTTATTTACTCGTCTTTAAGGAGAATGGTAGAAAGGCACAAATAAAATTCAAGGGTTATTGCTGTCTTTACTAAAATGCTATGCATTGCAGGCTAAGGGGCAAGCCAAATCCTAATTATACAAGCTTGAATGAGCATAAGGCCTCATGTGCCCTACAGACCTTTGCTGTTTTCTGACGTAATACAGAAAAGTCAGAAGCTGCTAAATCACTGCTCTGGTCTGCAGAGGGTATTGGATTATACTTGATGGTGATGGGAAAAATTTGCTTGTTTATGCATTGAAACTCAATTTTAAATAAGGTATTTTTTAAAACCTTTCCCTCGTTTTTATGTAGTTTTGAAATGACAGGATAACCTGTGCTCCTTAAGTTAATTGATGTCAGGTGTAGCTACAGAGAAACCTGATTCCCATCTTTATCTTAAGTGAGTGCTTTTTGCCACAGCGTTTTATTGACTAGGAATGAAACCACAACACTATTTATTTGTTCTCTGAAACTCGGCRTGGATACAGAGAAGCTGACGTTTCAGAAGGCAGCTTTAAACAGACTTGGTTATTGAATCGTGAATTCCTTTTGACTTGATATTTTCAGTGTTTGGCTTGAGGCCCCAGAGTGTTGTACAGAAAAGCTCGGGTGTGCCTCAAGGAAGTGTCGCTGACAGTTGTAAAAGACTTGCAATTTTTGTTTTTGGTTTAGARTTTTTCTTTTTGGGGAGGGGCGGTTTGTTTTAAAAACCAATTAAATACCTGGTGCAATTCTTAAGCTCTTACCTATCCTCATTAATGTGGTGGCAACATTTGGCTGGTGTTGTACAGAGAAACCAGCCTGGTTTACGCAGCCGTCTCATTAGTTGGATAGTTTGAAATTTTTTTTGGTTTTGTTCCCCTTTACCACTCCGAGGTCATCCCATGGGGTACAGTAAGTGTGAGAGTGCCTTTTCTTTTCCCTCTTTGTCTCGTTTTTTGCTTCTTTCCTTTCTCACCAACATACATTCAACTTCCAGAGAAACAAGTAGCTTCTACTGTAACTGCTTCATGTCTAGACTGGGTAGTTTTCCTGATGCTATGTAATAAAAGGTAATAAAAGGAAAATTACTCATTTCAAATGCTTGGTCTCGTTTGTGCACAGTTTGGAGTGTTTTAGTTTGAAATGTGTAAGTAATGAAATCACTTATTGAAATTACAATAAATTCTACAGATGTTGACTTAAAATTGACAGAAGTTTGTGTCTGGAAGTACAACATRGGGAAAGTGTGTAAATAAAGTTTGAATAACAAGTGAGCAAAACATTGTTATGATGGCACATGTCCTGCAAAGCTTAATTTACATGCAGCAGAAGAATCAATATATACAGGTTTTCCAATGTGCATCCACATTAAATTGAAATGGCAATTTTCATAAAGTTGCAGACATTCAAAAAATTAATTAAATTTTAAAATCATGCTTTCACAAATTTATGACTTCTGTGTTAAATAATGCTTTTGAGCAGCACAGTTTTGTCATCTAGAGTAAACCATTAAACACAAGCTTTTGTAATCAGTTTTTTATCAGTCACATTTTTAAGGACTTGTCAATTTCATTATTGTATAGCATTAATAAACAGCAATTGGAACAAACAGGAATAACCATTAAAACAAGTACAGTGAAACAGTCTTATAAAACAATGCAACCTTAGAAATCTGATCCAACTYTAAAAGCCAGAGTAAATAGTTATTTTTAAAGCAGGATTTAAAAGCTGTAGATTCTGCAGAATGATAATCAAAGGATGTATTGTTCCAGTTTGGAGGCTGCCACTGTTAAAGCCCAGTCCTCTGCTTTAGCCATTCAGAAGCTCAACCAATCAAGAAAGGATTGGACTGAGCCAAGTAAATCTTTTAAGATGGCAGGGAGAAAATGAGCCTCTATGACCCAACATGGCAGAAATACTGCATTCATAGATTTAATGTGTGTTATTCCTTTAATGAAATGAACATATTCAGGTACTTGTCAAGAATAGGCTTGGGACATTGAGGTTCCATGTTTTTTTGTTGTGTGGGCGAATGATTTTTTTTGGAATATGATCTGTCTGACAGACATATTAGGAACACTGTTGGTGTTAAAATTTGTTTAAACAAAATTTGTTTTTGTCCTTGTGTGTGATTAATGCCCTGACAGTTTTTGTGAATTGCATTCTCAAGGAAACTTTTATTTGGGTAACAGACATATATGTTCTGAAGTGACCTTTAGATTTAWAAACAAAGATGAGCCTATAAGAACAGAAATGCTTACTCATTGGCCACTGCAGAGCTTTTCAGCCAGAATGCTTTTGTACCTGAACACCTAATTCAATTCAATTCAAAAATACTTTATTGATCCCAGAGGGAAATTAGGTGTTGTTGTAACTCATTTAACTAAAAACTTATTGTAGATGCTGATGGCTGTGGGCAGGAAAGATCTTCTGTAGCGGTCTGTATTACAGCGAAGTTGAAGAAGCCTCCGACTGAAGACACTTTGTCTTTCTATGACAGTCTGATGAAGAGGATGGTCAGGGTTGTCCACAATGTTCTTGATTTTATGTAAAATCCTTTGCACCATCATCTGCAGAGGTTCCACAGTCGTCCCCAGAACAGAACCAGCCTTCTTTATCAGGTTGTTTAGCCTTTATAGGTCCCTAGCTCTGATGCTGCTGCCCCAACAGATGATGGCAGAAGAGATGATGCTCTCAACAACAGACCTGTAGAAGACCTGCAGCATCTTGCTGCAGACATTGAAGGATCTCAGCTTCTTTCAGAAGTACAGTCTGCTCTGTCCTTTCTTGTAGACTGCTTCACTGTTGAGTCTCCAGTCCAGTCTGTTGTCCAGATGAACACCGAGGTATTTATATTCCTCAACCACCTCCACTTCTTCTCCCATGATGGAAACAGGGCTTGATCTAGCACTATTTCTCCTGAAATCTACAATCATCTCCTTTGTTTTGTTGACATTCAAGATGAAATGATTGTTCCCACACCATGTCACAAAGCGGTCCATCAGCTCTCTGTCCTCAGCTTCCTGTCCATCTCTGATACACCCAACAACTGCAGAGTCATCTGAGTATTTCTGTAGATGACAGCACTCTGACTTGTGCTGGAAGTCTGAAATGTACAGTGTGAACAGGAATGGTGAGAGTACAGTTCCCTGTGGTGCTCCTGTGCTGCTGACCACCTGGTTAGACACACAGTCCTTCAGTCTCACAAACTGTGGTCTGTTTGTCAGGTAGTCTTTGATCCAGGCGATTGTTGAGGCTCCACCGGAGTCTTCTGGAGTTTCAGACAAAACAACTCAGGCTGAATTGTGTTAAAAGCACTGGAGAAATCAAAGAACATGATCCTGACAGTGCTGCCTGCTTTGTCCAGATGACAGTGGGTTTGTTGAAGCAGGTGTATGATGGCGTCGTCAACTCCACGACGATAAGCAAACTGCAGGAGGTCCTGATGTGTGCTTGTTTGCTTACTCAGGTGGGTCAACARGAGTCTCTCTAGGACCTTCATGATGTGGGATGTCAGGGCAACAGGTCTATAGTCATTGAGGGCTGATGGGTGAGTTTTCTTTGGTACTGGAACCAGACAGGATGTCTTCCACAACACTGGCACCTTTTCCTGGGTCAACCTAAGGTTGAAGAGATGTTGCAGAAACCCACAGAGCTGGTCCGCACAGGCCTTCAGGACTCTGGGGCTAACACCATCTGGACCTGCAGCCTTGTTCTGGTTCAGTCTCTCTAGCTGCCTCTTCACCTGACTTCTAGATACAGAAGAGTGGGAGGGGGAGAGAAAGGGAGCAGCAGCATCTCCTGATTTAGTTGAAGACAAACTTGTGGATGTAGAAGAAAAGTCCATGACTGAGGTTGAAGATAAAACATCTGAGGTTTGACAGGAAAGCTGTGGGTCAAAGGAGGGTGAGATGTCTGTTTGGCTGGGGGCAGGAGAGGAGGAAGATCAGCTTGTCCTGAGCTAAAAACATTAAAGAATGTGTTCAGCTCATTTGCTCTGTCCAGACTTCCATCCATCCAATTCTCCTTTTGCTTGAAACCTGTGATCTTCATCCCTGACCACACATCTCTGATGTTGTTCCTTTTCAGTTTACTCTCCAGCTTCCTTCTATAAACCTCCTTGCTGTCTCTGATCTTGACTTTGAGCTGCTTCTGTATGCTCCTCAATAACTCCCTGTCTCATTCTCTAAAGCTCTTTTTTTCTTGTCTAAAAGTTCCTTTAGCTCACTGGTGATCCAGGGTTTATTTGTTATATGTAATGATTTGTTATTAATCATTACAACTCATGCATAAAGGTATCTTGGAGAACCTGTCATAAAATAAATAGAGCAATTTTAACTGAAGAGTGAATGTTCAAACATAAGAAAAGCCAAAGAATCAAATTTTTTTCATATTAAATGCAGGTTTTAAGATTATTCAATATGAAACTAATTAACTTTTATTCAAGATGAAACAATCAGTGTGTATTTATTTACCAGTCAGTGGGAGAATATTAAACCGTGAACTTGAAAGCAGTGTCCCTGATGAGATTTGAGTCGACATACTGTATTTCCCATGGTGATGGGGTTGCAAAAGAAACTGAATGTACAGATAAAACATGCACACGATAATAAAGGTTGAAGTGCTGCTCCAACAGACAAAGAATAAAGGTTGAAAAGCATGAAGAACATATAAAATCGTATATGTGAGCTCAAAGTTCAAACCGTGCTGTCACAACTTGTCTGAAGTCAAATCTCTTGGAAGTATATCTGATCTGCTGAAGAACTGCAAACTAAGAATTTCCTGGTTTACACAGTAAAGACAAAAAATGACCTTTTGCCTGATGATGACGAGGCAGATCAGTGAAWATTGATGATTGCTTCCTGTGAACTTTGGAGCATTTTTGAACTAAATATGTGTGGCACACAGGTTCGATCTGTTCTGGAATTCATAGTAGGYTTGAAATGTACAAGTTAAATAAAATCTGTTGTTCTGATTGGGAATTTAAAACAGGCTGACTGTGCAAGTCTTCAAACAAGTGTTGCTCACAGATTAAAATGGCAAAACAGATAATTCTAGTTAGGTAGTCCTGTAATGTAACCAATGCCATGTAACCAAATGTTRAAGCTAAACTCAGTGTATTTGTGCTCTTTAGCATTATTTTGTTCTGTATTGTCTGTTATAATTGTAATCACACAAAAAGGATCAAGTTGTGTATTTCTGGTTAAACAGAAATAGGTGACCAAAAGGATTACAGTTTAGGTAATTCACACCTGCAAACAAGTGAATGAGCGCTGAGGACATTTTGCWGTGTGCTTATTTGTCAACCCATAAGCCATAAACTGGGGCACTTTTTTCAGGCTGTGTCGAATATTTGCCTGCAGATACAGTTAAGGGTGAATGTTTGAGCAGCCTTGAGTAACGTCTTAGATAGCAAAAAAAGGGCAAACAGCAGTATAATGAAGCTTTTCAATTCTATTAAACTTAGGTTTTTATGATCGATAAAAGAATTTATAAAAAATAATTGTGCAAAGAGACGTGGGCCTGATTACTGCAGGTGTTGCATTTACAACATGCAGTTTGTCAAGCGGATGCTCAAGAACAAAAAGGGAAATACGAAAGTCAAATAAGCAGAAGATCATAATATGAGTTGCAGGATATCAGCTGCTCCAATTGACACTGGATTTATTCAAATTCAAATCATTACTCAAAAGACCCTCTTAGAAGCCTAAACGTGTCTGACTAAAGCTGCTTAGATATTTTAGATATTTGTGAACAAAGGACTAAATATGCCTTAGGGTTCTGTCGGGAAACTTCTCTTTGGCTAAAAGTTGCTTCATTATGCAGGAAATTTGTGACATCAATATTCTCAAGCACAGGACAGAAAACACGTTTTAGTGACCGGTAGCATGAAGGAATGCATACTTTCTGCTGCCTTTCATACCAATTCAGGGTTGAGATCTCACTTTGAGAACTAAAAATAGAATTACTTCAAATCTTATGCAATGGTAGATGTAAACCTCAGAGTGTTTGTTGTTCATCACTCTCAGCTAATTTTAGGTCAATAGTTGTAGAAACCAAAAGAGTTTCAGCCTTTTTGTGTTCTTTGAGGTCTGTGGGTGTAGCAGCCATGTTGAATTAAAGTTAATAACTTGTAAGTGTAAAAATCGATGATTATTTTGAGAGTTTTATTACAATTCATCCAKTGATCATGAATTGTTTTTTATGGCAGACACAGACAGATACAGGCAAAAACATTATTGCTTGCCAAAACCTTCAGGCAACAAATTGTAAAAAGTAACTTTCTGATTTTTCATGGTCTTTTGAAAATTGGAGCCTTCAAACATCTTAAAGGCAGGAAATTCTGCATTTTGTTGTTGCACAAGCATAAATATGATCTATACTTCTGAAGTTAACAGCAGAAATATAATGCAATCAAGAGAAAATCCACTGCTCAACATCGAGAGACCTTTTCCTTTTAAACGGGAGCTCAAGCCTTAAATAACCCGACTGGTCCTGAAATGGATCCCCGCAGGTCCTGACAGTTACAGTACACCAAGCTATTACCAGGGTTTAATGACACCATCAAAGAGGTCAGAGCAGCTACAGCAGGTGTGCATTTCCACTATATACCCCACTGGGCTCAGTCTATATTTAACTGGATGTGCACTTTCAAAGCCATGAATGGGCACGAACCCCATCACCACCACAAAACTGCAGCCCTGCTGCAGAGGTGTGGGAAGGAATTACCGGCTCGTAATTAGTCTGCTTTTTCCAAGTGATCGGTCATTATTTTGGCTGATCTTAATGACACAGCATTTACACACACATTTAGTGTTGTTTCACTTAAATAAAATGTATAATTGTTTTGTTCTTGGCCAAAAAAAAAAAAAAAAAAACCTGAGAATTTTCCCAAAACAATGAAGTGTTCTGTTCTCAGCTCACACATGAGACCAAGCGAAGTGCTGTGGAGATCCCATAACATCCCACTGAGGCTAAACATCATTCAAGGACTCAAACGATAACATCTCGGGCTGATTTAAAATTCTCACACAACGCCGTGTTAACAATGAGAATGRCCTTTTCAGCTGAGGTCAGTGGGATTAATGGCCAGGATCAGGTGACAGCTGATGCAACATGTGCAGGAACTTGCTTCAACTCCACTTTTTCCATTTTTCTTTTAATTTCTCAGAATGTTTGCATAAAACAAATCCTGTCAATTTATTCTAAAAGATTAATATTGGTTAACGTCTTAAAACTGAGTAGAGTTTTTTCTACGTAAAGATTTGAGCAAGATTTTAAAGACCAGTTGTTCTTCCGATACAAAGGACATGAGATTTAATCTGACTTAAACTGAGGTTATAAAAGTGAAGCTGATTATATGGCGTGCATGAAACAGGTTTTTACTTCAAAGTTATGTAACTGTGGGTGGTGTTTTAGTGGTGTTTTATCACAAACACAATTTGTTAGCTTTTGCTAATCTAAATTCAGTTTGTGACTCACTTTAAATCCTGTTACGAAACACTTGGCACTGAAATTGTTTTGTTTGGCTGGAAAAAGTTTTAAAGAGATACTTGTACAAGAAAACTGACCCTGTTGTAAATCAAAAACTTTGTCTTTAATAGCCTGTTACAAAATTATGAGTGTATTAATTCTGTATATTTATATGTAATAGTAGATAGAAAATTAGCATTTTCTGCAAAAGTGCAATGCAAATGCTGATTGACTGCTAAAATTATGTAGACTTCCTGCTGAAGAAACTCAGTTGCTAAAAGATGAAAAGACGCAGAACACAAGCTACACGCAGCAAAGTTAGCTAAAGGCCAAAAGTAGCAAACTGGTAGCTGGAAGCTTTAGCAAAAAGCTAGCTAAAAAGATAAGGTATGCTTGCAAGTGAAGTGGTCCTTTAACATTTCATCACCTGGGTGGTGGAGAATGACAGGACTAGACTGACAAACAACTAAATCAATCAGATTTTGTGGTTGTGGACCACCCAGAACATGAGTGTTAAACTCATTTTCATATGAGCATCATGGTTGCTCTCCAAGAGTCAAATGTTATTACCGTYAACATTTTATGTTTTACTTCAGTTAAACACAAAATGTCACATTCCTTGTTTAGTTGTCTAGACAAGGAATGTSACATTCCTTGTCTAGACACTATTCATAGCTCCCTATCTAGCTWTGCCTGAGCATCACTTTCTAACAATAACTGAGCTCTATGATAGGTTATTTTGTGCAAAGAGTAAAGTACTACGTGTTCGATGACAGGGAATTTCCCCCCAAGGGATGTTCCATTTTAAATTTTCAAATTGTGAGAAATTTCCACTTCCCAGTACAACTGGGCCGCAGCAAAAGAWGCYGRCAAAAACRCAGCTAAAACCAGATTTTATRGGGCAAATTTTTTGGCTACTTTTAAACCCTGTGCACCTACTCCTACTGATGGGATGCTTTCACTTTGTGGGTAAAACAATCTACAAACATTATGGGAGGTATAGTTCATGGACAATGCAGCACAGTGGGTCTATGGTTAACACTGATACCTCACAGCAAGAAGGTCCTGGGTTTGATCCCCACTTTGGACGAGGGGTCTTTCTGTGCAGAGTTTGCRTGTTCTCCAGGTACTCTGGTTTAACTCCCACAGACAAAAAAAAACAACATACAATAGGTTGTCTTCAGGCCCAGGCTTCTCTTGAAAAAGAGATCTGCGATTTCAATGGGATTTGTCTGGTTAAACAACTGTAAAATAAAAATAAAAATTAAAAGAAGGATCCGCTCAYTTTAAGACATTAATACATTTTTGAAGCCGACCCAATGATAAATGTAAGAAATCGGACGGATGGATGTTTTTGAAGCTCTCGGTGAGCCACATAAAATGTCTTGATGGGCCACCTTTGGCCCGTGGGCCTTGTGTTGTACATGTGATCTAATGGAAAAAACATTGGGGATAAATGTAGCAATCYTAAGTGACTGTAATGTCAAKAAGAAGGAGCATGAGAAGCTGGGGAACTAATAAARGCTGAAAGAGGAAACAGAAAAGCTGTGGAGAGTTGAAAATCCATGGTATCCATAACAATAGAATCTATTTCTACRAAAGAACATAATGTTCAACTTTCTCACATCCAAGGGTAGCAATTTTATAAAATACTTCCTCCTCGTCACAGTTGATCCTTATTACACTCCCTTTTGTCATTCTACCAGACATGTATTAGCCTGTGGCTTGTGAATCATGCATTTTGTTTACGTGAAACTAATTTACGGGATGCTCCGTGCGAAAGAAGCAGCTGACGAATGATTTTCAGCCAATGGAGAAGCTGCACAACTGGCAGTCATTACGTGAGCAGGAGACGCAAACGTTTCTTGGAACTTCAGTCACATGCTGGGAGAGGAATGAAAAGTGAACTGGAGAGGGTGTGGAAGGGGAGTGTGTCCGCTGCACCAATAGCTTTGCAAGTCTCACCTCTATGGTTGGCACCTTTCCACTGCAATGTTTTTGCTCAACACTGTGGGGCCTTGGCCGACCGCGTGGCTGCAGGATGAAGCCAGCATATGTTCAAGCATTAATGAAAACAATGAGTTTTGTCTCCTCTCACGGTCCGAACCAACAGATAGATGGCCTGAAAGTGAAATCGGCTTTGTGTTTTCCYGTGGCCAGGCAGCATCTGTCAGTTTGACAAGTGTTTTCCTTTGTGATGAACTGACGTTTTTCTGCTTGTGAAAGTGATCTACACCCAGATATCCTTCTGTTTGACGACAAATGAGTTCCAAGAGTCAAGCTTGTTTGTTACATAAATCCTAAGATTTTGGCAAGAGGCAAGTTTTAAGTTCTAGTTTGTTAAGATTTGTTACGTGGTGAGAAAATTAACAAAAAAAAAGTTAAAGATTCATGATTCCTTAGAATACAAATTAGTCATCAACTTTCATGTCAGTGTATTAGAATACGATCATTTTGTGCTGAGAAAAAAAGACTGTCATTTTCATTTTGGTCAAACTTTAAAACATGATGTGCAACTCACGTGATATTGAGACGTWGCGCTCACAGTATGTGTTGTCAATGGTTCAGACATAAACAGTGAACTCCAATAGGTAATAGCAAAGTTTTTAAAAACAGACCTTGCTCGGTCCATTGGTGCTCATAGTACACGTCGAGTGTGACGCACCTTCAGTCACATTTGAGCTCATCTGTAAAACTGGCTAAGTCATAATCATTTTTTGTTCGCTAAGGTTGCTTAGCTGTGATGATCATCTTGAATTGGRTCCAATTCAAGATCAAAAAGTTAATATTTTGTAAATGAACATCTAATTATTATTTTCAGTGTTCTACTGAAATAAGTTCGCTGGTTCCTGAGATGATTTGCCAACTCTACAGTCAAGTGAACACATGCAAAAACATTGCCGCCCTTGCCTTTGAGCAGAAACATCAACTTCATGTTGTCATAAGAACACTCAMCTTTTCAACAAGCATGTTTTGTTTGTTTTTTTAAACAGAAGGTGTCCTGGGTAAACTGACCTGCCACATTAAAAAGTCACTTTGCCTTGTGTCACAATAACTTATCTTGTATAGAGGTCACTGCCAAATCAGCACACAGCATGCCACAATCAAAAATCTTCTCCAGATGCCTTCTCCACTTTTTATAGCTAATAATCAATGTTTCTCAAAACCATGTATACTTATGTTGTTGACAGGAAAATTAGAGAATAAAATTGAGGAGTGAGACTTAAAGTTTAACAAGTACTCATATCTTTGTTAAAACACTTTCAATGACACTTGTAAAACGAGATTTTGAATTGATTAAAATTATCTTAGAACATATAAAACGCACTTAACATAAACTCTGAAATCTTATTAAAGTTTGGATTAAACAGGAAAACTGCAAGGTTACAACGCTGACTAATGCTGCCACCTGCTGAGGTGAAATGAAACGTCTGTAAACTCATACCATTGACCCTGAAACCAAAAGGATTTTTCTGACAAAAAATAAAATCAGAAGTAATATGAAATGTATCAACCAGGTATACTTTCGCATGAAGACAATATAAAACTCATTCAGACATTAGTGAATCTCTGTGACAGACAGACACCACCGGACAGCATGAAATAGCTTGTGGCAGAATGTATTTTATGTAAAAGTAGTATTGTCCAAAATTATTACAGTATCAAAAATATTTTTTTCTTTAACAGTTTAAAATAAATTAATAATTCAAAAACTACAAAAGACAAACATCTACTTAACAAAACTAACATGTCATTTTCATAAATATGGCATTTATGAACGCTTCACTGACAAGACTGCATCAAAAATGATAAATTTTCTGTATAAAAACAACTTACATACTTAAAACAACAAAATAACACATTCAGAACTAAAAAAWGGACTTTCTTTTGAATTTGACTTTTGGAAACTAATAAAATAATTTAAAATATCTTGTGTGTAACTGTGTACAATATGTTTCCAGTTTGATCCGAACAAAACAATTCAGAACTGGTAAAACAAAAACAAAACAAAGCAAACAAACAAAAATAAATAAGTGAAAACTTAAATGTATGCTTGACAGCATGGTAAGTGCTGTTCCACCTCCCTCAAAACTAACATATGGCTTGATCTGAGCTCATCTCTGCCAACAGTCCCTGTGCTAACAGCAGAGTCCTCATTATGCCCCCTACCACACAGAAAGTGTTAAAGCTTTGAAGGCRAACACAAACGTTCTACTTGGTTTCCAGCTGTCATGTCTTCACAGTTTGCTGTTTGAGAACACTTTTCACCGRTTATCGCATCTTCTTTCTATCTCCTTTTGAATCCGAACCTCTAAAGCTGCCCTCATGGCTGCATCCAGGGTGTTTTTCTCTGCGACACGCTCTACCACCTCCTCAGGTTTATCCTCCTTCAGAAACAAAGACACACAAAAAAAGAACAGYTAGGAGTTAAAAAGGCAAAACTTTAGAGTAGCRTTGTCTGATCCTGGTCCTCAAGGGCTGCTGTCCTGCTTGTTTTTGTTGTTACCCTGTTCCAACACACCTGAGTCCATGGTTAACTTAACCCTTCAGTGTTGTCTTGATTCATCCATGATGAATCAAAGTATCAGAGCTCCACATTGAAGTTCTTAACATAGGGTTAAGATACTTGGGAGTTGATTAAAAGCATTGTAATTAAAGTTTTCCCACAAAAGGAAAAGGTTGTCTCTGTCCTGTTAACGCCAAAAGACAAATGATCAGAAATCTGCATTTACCTTTTTCACAAGAAAGGATGTAACAGTTCCAGAGTCCTCCTGATAGTCGAGCCAGAAGAGTTCAGTCCCCTGGGTTTCAGGCTCTGTGCTTGAGCTGCTCTCATTTCCCTCCTCAGCATCAGCACCAGCCTCTGGCTCTGAACAATCTGGAAAAATGAGCACAGGTGTATTTATGATCCATTTAGTGTACCATTTCCCTAGTCCTGGTCCACATGATTTGCACTCCTGCAAATTTTAGATGAATCTTTGCTCCAACTTATCAGATTTTAATGAGCGAATTCACTCATCTGCTTGTTATCAAGTTAAATCAGGAATGCAGAAGCAGGGCAACATCTCAAACAGGCAGGGCTGTGGATCTTGAGGACCAGTATTAGGAAACACTGCTCATCAGAGGAAAAGAGGTATTTTAATCGTACGTCGTTGTCGGGGATGGTACACCTGGAGGTCAGGTCTGCGAGGTCTTCTGGGGGTTGTAGTRTGTCTTTGCCTCCGAAGTTCTTTGGCTTGTTTCACTTCTTTGTCATAATCATCTCTGGACAAGACAAGTCACTGATATGTTTTTACTGCTATAGCTACGTGTTTGAGTCAGGTGCATCCAATTCATTGCAAAACAAAGTATTTTTGCTGTACAAAACTACAGTTCATAAACAAGTAWAACGTTTGTATCTTTTTGTGACAAAGTGTGATTAAGTCAGCTTCCCCGTTTTGTTTTTAGTATTTACACCAACTTAAGATGAACTTTAACAACGATAAAGCACATACTGCCTTTGTTATTTGTTGCTACTGTTAAACAACTCAATCATTTTCAATTATTAGCATTAGCTTAGGAAGGAAATTACCTAGCAATCTGGTTCCTGCGGATATGGTGCAGRAAGCCGTGGTTCATATCCAAACGGCCCCCAGGTTTGTATTTTAGCTCATGCCCTCCATCGTCTTTAATAATATCCATTTCATTAAACAGTTCCGACAATATTACAGTATTATTAGAATACTAAGCATAAGAAGTCTCAATCAGAGCTATGACAAAAGCTAAATAGCTAGCTAGTTAACGACAAAATGTTGTCCAGTTGTACTACTCCCGGAGTTAACACAAATAGAAAATTTAAATTAAACTTCAATAACAACACAATTGTATAACACGTACAAATAAAAATAATAATAATGTGCTAAACATGCTAGTTATTGATTCMTTTTCAAGTAAATCAAGGACAAAGATAGATATTTAAATACGTGTTTTTTTTAAACCCCGGTATAGATTTTGTCTGTAGCGAACGAGAACTCCTACGTAACATGKACGTACGGTCTCCGCGAGTTTCGAGATGCTCGGTTTGATTGAACTGAACAACTAAGCTCCGTCCATTGTGTTGTTTTAACATTAGTATAGCAAGATAGTCGATGAGATGATTTCTTTAAAGAGAGAGAGGGAATCAGATGTGGACGACGACGATAGCGACGACGGGGGTAGGTTTACTTACAGTTAACGCCAGTTCTTCTTTTGGTTAGCCAGTGGCTAAGAAGCTAACTATYAGTACGTTTGATTTTATGTACGGCTTCGTCCAGTCAGACCTGGGCGGGTCAACATGTAACCATAACAGTAGTTAAACCAAAGAAGTACCGCTTTTTTAAATTACCTTGTATTTCATATCAAACGTCCTCTCAATAGAATCGTTTTGTTAGCATGTGTAGCTAAATGACTTGTACCCACCTTTGTGTTCATTTACGCTTTGCTATAAAAAATTGTTTTACAGTTGCCCCCAAAAGAGGACGAGGACCTGCAGTAGAAGACCGGAGAAGCCGTCACTGTCCTTACCTTGACACAATAAATAGGTCACACTGAACTGAATGTGCATAACTAATGCTAAAAGCTAATTAGCAGAAATTATATGAGAAAAAAAAACTTGTGCCGTCAGAAAAGGAATTTTAAAAGTTCAGACAGAATCTGTATTTGCAAAATGTAAAATTAAATGCATCGGTTTGAAAATTAATTTCATTAAAATAAAACAAAACTGAATTTAATTATTTGAATCTGAATATAAAGTTTTCCAGTTTTCAGTACAACAACATAGTGCATAACTAACGCTAAAAGCTAATTAGCAGCAATTATATGAGAAAAAAAAACTTGTGCCGTCAGAAAAGGAATTTTAAAAGTTCAGACAGAATCTGTATTTGCAAAATGTAAAATTAAATGCATCGGTTTGAAAATTAATTTCATTAAAATAAATCAAAACTGAATTTAATTATTTGAATCTGAATATAAAGTTTTCCAGTTTTCAGTACAACAACATAGTTTCAGAGCTAAAAAAAAAATTCAGATTCAAATCATTAAATTTCAATTTATTGAAATCCATTTTCAAACCAATACATTTAATTTCAAATTGTGCAAATAGAGATCCATTCAGAGCATCCAAATTCAGTTTCAGGTGACACAAGTTTCTTCCCAACMATTATAGCTAACTCTTAATGTGTTCATCCTTCTAGGAGTGTGCTTGATTTTGACTTCGAAAAGCTCTGCTCCATCTCTCTTTCTCACATCAACGTTTATGCTTGCCTCATATGTGGGAAATACTTTCAAGGTGTGTTAAAATTAACTGACATTTCACGCAGGGAAGAACCCATTGATTGAACTTTGAATGACCGGTATTGTTTTTCTTGCAGGTAGAGGTCAGAAGTCTCATGCGTACACTCACAGTGTCCAGTTTACCCACCATGTGTTCCTCAACCTGCACACTCTCAAGTTTTACTGCCTGCCAGATAACTATGAGATCATTGATTCATCATTAGAAGACATCACGGTGAGTATAGGAACAGTAGTCGGTATTCTCTTTTTTTTTTAAATAAAATTGTTATCGTGGTACTAAAGGTTATATTTTAAGTTCTAGTTTCAAACACTCATTTTGTGCTGATAAATTTTAAATCCTCTCCTTTTCTAGTATGTTCTGAAGCCAACTTTCACTAAGCCGCACATTGCAGGACTGGACAAGCAGGGTAAACTGTACAGAGCCTACGATGGTACAACCTACCTGCCGGGCATTGTGGGGCTTAACAACATCAAAGCCAACGACTACGCCAATGTGGTGTTACAGGTATGTACTGTATATCTCAGGTATGTACTGTATATCTTTTCCTCCCAAGATGTTTTTAAGACCATAGCATATATTCTAATAATTCCTTTTTGTTTTCTGTTAATCACCTCCTTCTAGGCTTTTTCCAATGTGCCACCTTTGCGAAACTACTTCCTGGAGGAGGAAAACTACAAGGGAATCCGCAGACCACCAGGGGACATCATGTTTCTCCTGGTCCAGAGGTTTGGTGAGCTGATGCGCAAACTTTGGAATCCAAGAAACTTCAAGGCTCACGTGTCTCCCCACGAGATGCTGCAAGCTGTGGTGCTGTGCAGCAAGAAGACTTTTCAAATTACCAAGCAAGGTAGATTTAACTTCTTCATATGACCTGCACTGTACTCAAACTGCTTTCTAACACTTGTTAGTTAGATTTAAGGTTGTAGGTCTTTGGCTACRTTCACACTGCAGGCAAATCCGACCCAAATCCGATTTTTTTATGACAGTCTGAACGAGACAAATCGATTTTTTTCAAATCCAACCCAGGCCGTTTCAGTATGTGGTTTTAAATCGGATATATATCTGATGTTTTCAAAGTGACTGCAGTGTGAACGCTCATGTCACATTCATCTGACTTTTTCATCAGAAGGAGGGGGTGAAGGATCGATAAGACAC